TTAATCTGTTTGAGTTGCTTTTCGGGGTCGCCTCGATAACCTGACCCTAGTTTACCATGTTAATGATTTATCTGTACATGTGGGTTGACTTTTGACACAAGTCTAGATATGTACACTGAGACGCGTGTGAGTATAGAATATGTATATCAGTCCGCATATACTTTTCACAGTTACACAGTCCTCGTGTTGGACTATAATCCATAGAAGTCCTCGTGTTGGACTATAATCCATTTTTGTCCTCGTGTTGGACACTTGCCACTTATTCCATGTGTTTGGAAAACCACAGTATCTAGTTCCTGTATCGGACATATTTCTTAACCCTGTATATGACTTTCTCACAGGAGTTTATGACATGACACTTATGTAGATTATAACATGGTATACATGTAAGTAATAACATGATGCTCATGTAAGCTATGACATGGCACTGTATTTATGCCCTGAGATTTGTTGTATTACTTTTATTATTGTTTCTTGTACTAGAACCTCGGGTTTAGTGTTTAGGGATTTACAATTTGAGATACAATGTATATACATGAGGGTTTCCTTGTTTGGATTATTTCGCTCGACGTACCTATGCTCGTGTTGTAAATTTCTAAATACTAAAATCCTCTTTAGTAAGATCAATGATTTTAGATCTATTATGTATTATCTGTATTTTCTTATACAACGAGCCCTGTTCCCTTGGGGTTGGTTGTGATGTTACTTGCTAGCGCTTTGACGCTCGTTGTCCCTCCCCCTTTCAGGTAATGAGCCAGGAGCCCGGAGAGTCGCAGGTTGATAGCGACACACTTTAGTGTTCAGCTGTCTATTTTAGTTATGTTTTATTTTGGAGCTCCACTGTAGATTTATTTGACATTTGAGGACTATTCTCTAGATGTTGTAAAGGCTGTATGCCTTATTTCCTTTACTCAGATATTTGTACTTGAGACTTGTTGAGTATTCCAGTTATCCATTCAGACATTGGCTATGTATTTCTGTATGTTGGATGATGAGATATTTATGTGATCACTATCACTTCATCAGTTATTTCTTGCACTATCTCTTACTTGCTTTTGTATCTACACCTATTGTTGACTTTGCTAGATAGATGTTAATTGTGATGGTGAAACATGTTATTGTACGGTGAGGTGCAAGGCAGGTTTGACATTCTTGGTTTCATCTTGGACTGCAGCCTTGTGTGAACCCAGGGGCGTCACACTTCAATTCCCCTTAAAACGGCTAGTGTGCCTTGCAATCTCCATAATCCTTGGCAAAAATCAATATAGCCACTCTGCATAGAGGACATATAGCTTTAATAACCATCAAGTTTACATCAGAAAATGATACATATCCCATATTGTAATTATATTTACTCTTTCCTTTTTTTGAACTTTAACAGAGTTAAACCCACCGAACGCAAATGTACTATTCAAACAAATTTTCTATTTCAATAAAACATGCACATTAACATATAAACTCATCAAATTTAATAAAAAGTGACACCAAACCTACATTGAAAATTATTGGTGATGTTTCAGTTTCTAAACTTCTTCAAACCAAAACCAAAGGAACACAAACGTGTAACAAACAGTTCTGTTGCCACAAGCATGCACATTAACAAAAAGACTCGTCAAATTTTAAAAAAAAAACTTACACAATTCAATTTACATACTATAGTCAGTTTTCCCCCCTTTTCAACTTTCAAAAAATTCAAAACTAACAAAAAAAAACAAGTTTAACAAGAAGCTTTTCCTTTTCACCAAGCAATGAATTCATCAAATATGTAGACTTATAGAACTGGCCTACTTATTTTAACAACTAACTTCTTTGGTACCATTCCCATTGACCAGAAACAATTATGTTCTATGAAAAAACATGAGCATTACAGCGAAAATATTTTCAATGTGCAATGAGATAAGTTACTTACGAGGTTCTCAATTCTCTCCCTTTCATCCTCCCTCGATGGCCGATGATCCGAAGTAAGTGCCTCAGCAGTACCCGAAACGCTCAAGACAGCCCGGCAATCACCAGCATTGGACACAATAAGATCACCCTTCTTAATGAGAGCAGTGACACAGCAGGATCCACTTACAGCTTCTTCTTTAAGGAACTCTGCATCAGTCTTCATATACCCATTAGCAACCGCCTTTTCTATGTCTTCATCTTTTCTCTTAATTTCAGTTATAATGTTTTTCCCCAAATTGTCGGCAGCAAATTCAGCAGCTTTAGTACCACTATGACCATCGAAAATGCCAAAGAAAGCCTGAACAAGTTATAGATGTAGGTTGTTAATTTGAAAACTTATATGCTCAAAAAATCCAAACTTTCGTACTGAAAGTCCTATCTTTATGAAAGTTACAAAGTCCTAATTTTAAAATTGAAATCCCAACATTTTGGGGTTAAAAAAATCTAACTTTTTAATTAAAATTTCTTTAAAAATGTCAGAAAATTACCAATTGGGGATCTCCATCGACATCAAGCTCAGCCTTGAACCGATCCTCCATCTCAATCCTCCTCCTCCCCCTCTTACAATAAACAGCGCACCTCTCACTCTCCATCTCCACCTCCTCTCGACCGCCCGATCCCACCGGCGCGAATATCAAAGCATCCGTCACCGGTACATCGATTCTCGCCGGCCGCTTCCGCTTCAAAGCCGAATCCGACGAACTATTCGCCGAGCAATTCAAGGTCACGCGGCTGAATCGCGAGGATTTGATTGGGGACGCTAGGGTTAGAGTTTCGGGCGCGCGAGAGGGGGAGGCGGCGGCGGGAGGCGGAGAAGGGGGACGCCGCCGGAGAGCTCGACGGCGAGATCGCCGCCATCGCGACGGAACAGGACATTGAACTAAAGAACAAAAGGTTTGATTAGGGTTTCGAAAACGTTATTTTGATTTGATTTTTTTTTTTTGGGTTTAGCGCTCTCGTTTGTTGATTTTTGGGAACGTTTGATGGGCGGGTTTTATATAGTGCGATATGGTTGTTCTGATACTCTTCATGAACTGGAAATGTTGCTAGTGAAAAATGTCAGTAGGTCCCTATTTTTGATTCTCCGTAATTTTAAGCCCATTGGTGTCAACCTAATGCCTGACTTTTGATTAGATGCCAAGCTTTTTGTAAAATGTGGTCTCTCTGGAGAAGTTCTGAACCGTTTAAAACCACAAATTAGTGAATTATTACATCTAGATCTAGTTAACCTTTCATTAGTTATTCACTTGTATTTACTTATTTACTTATTTCGAAAGAAGGGAGGCCTAAGGTAATATTATTCGTGTCATTCAATTGTATTTATGATTAACAAACAAATAGCATACAGCTGTAATTTTGATTGTTCTTACAAAAAAACAATGATGGAATATGTTAACTTTTGACGTGGTAACGGTAGAACAGATTTGACAACTTTATCTTGCTTTCAATACGACGATAATAAATACGATGAACTTGAGAAAATAAGATAATACTAATCATTTAATTTGGATTCTGTTATTTGTGTGTAAATTCTATTATAAAGAAAACAATTATTCATAAAGTAGCTATTTTATGAACAATTTAGTTTTAGATGCCATTAATTCAAACAGACAACGGTTCTCAGAAGGAACATTCAATCCATCAACCTATAAATCTTTCGAACGGATGCCTTTATTTATACAGATGATATTCACACCTTCATCCCAAATTACTATGAAAAGTCCGCAAATAATCTCATGCTAAAATTCACGAATGGGGCCAAATATTTAGGACTAGACATTCAAAGACCTTTAAATAAATTTCCCAAGAGAGCTTTTGCTTTTGTTGCTGTAACAGGATAACCAAAATAGTAGCCCAGGAACTCGTATGGGAGAAAAAGGGAGTCAAAGCGTTGTGAGGCGCGTGCGCATGAACGTGAAATGCTCTTTTTTCGGCGTTCAACGCTCCGACAAAAAGCGGATGCGCTCTCCTCGTGATCACACGAAACAGCAATGTAGCACGACACATACGAGCAATGAACAACACGTGGGCTCTAGTGAATGGCTCTAACGCTGTTTGGTGTTTGAAGCCGAGTAGGTTGGCTGAGGTCAAACAGTGATTTAAAAACGATGAGCGGAAAGTTGTAGCTCGCATCACTGCTGGATAAAAGTAGCCATTGAAGACTCGCTCTTTTGACCCTTCACTTGCTTTCTAGAAATAATAGGATAGCAATAATTTATATTAATAATTTCATGTTTTTTTTTTCTAGAGTTTGTCAATATTTAGAGGAATTTTTTTAATTAGAAATAAAATAAAAAGAGTGTTAAACAAAAAGAAACACAATTTCAAAAATCTAGCAGGCATATTGAAGATTAAGGCAACAAAATATTGAAACGGAAAAGGGTTATCTACTATTTATTTAATTATATAAACGACACCGTGATTGCTTTGACTTGTATTTGTGACAGATAAATCTTAGATCACGGTGAAGAACTTAAGCGATAAGAATATACCAGTTCGCTCCCGCCATCGGACTTCGTGGGCCAACACCGACGGTCGCTCTTCTTTTTGACCTCCTACCCCTGGTCAACAAACTTTAACGTGGGCCGGAGTGGATCAAGCACAAAAAACTTTTGTCTACCCTATTTCAAAGGCCATGCAAGCAGCTCGGACTTAATCTTCTTATTAGGGTACATTTCGCTAAACCCCCTAAAATTTGCCCCGTTTCTTATAAAACTCCCCTAAATTATGTTTTATTCCACTAAACACCCCGCCCACAAACGTTTGGGATGCCTCACATAATCCCACTATGTAAAATGACGAATAACTAAAGAGCTTTGCTACATGGCCAGCTCATTATGCAATAGGAGGGAGACATCTTACCTATGCCTCCTATTGATCTCATATTTTGGGTCTTTTTTTATAACTAAAATATCCTTGTGAGAGAAAATTCCTCTATTTAGAATATGAATGCCTAAGAACATGTGTGCAATTGAAATCTCTAAACTGTCACCCCTCTCTCTCTCTATGTGTGAATAGTAAGAACAGCCATCTCGTATGCTAATAGAATTTGTACTTATCTAAGAAAAATCGCGGTATGCCGAGGTTTATAAAGGCCTTACAGATGACCATAATAGGGGCACCATGTACCAAAAATATGATATTTGCGAACGTGTTCCCATAACAATGATAAATAAAAAAGAAAAATTCCCTAAGGACCCAAAATATGGGACCAACAGGAGGGACATGTGAGGTGTCTCCTTCCTATTGCATAATGAGATAGCCATCATTAATGATGGACAACTCATTATGCAATAGGAGGTGGACATCTTACATGTCCCCCCTGCTGGTCCCATATTTTGGGTCTCTGTAGCAAAGTTCAATAAAAAACAACCAATGGTGATGGACTGGGTTGCAGATCAGAGGACTGTTTTGGTGGCTTGATGTTCATAAATGTTTGGAAAAAAAAAAACAATACATGTATCTTTCATACTTTTGCAATACATAAGGGGTTGGATTTATGGTGATAATATGTATAACTTAATACTCTTGGTCATACTTTTGGAGTTGGGAATATGACCTAATATGTACAACCATCCTTTTCTTATTTGCAACAAAGGCTGGGAATTTATTTCCCATCTTGTAATCTTCAATATCAAGCTTAAATTAATATATCTATCCTTGATATGTGATATTATATCTATCCTTTAATATGTGCATTCACAAAGATATTATAGTTGTAATGAAGCAAATGTACTTATTTAATGAATTCTTATTATAACTGAACTGTTATTATAGCAATAGGACTCTTGGGGTATAAATAAAGCACCAAATCCACTTTCTTCTCTCACGAAATATTTCTCGGACTTTGAAGCAATTATCAACTATTCTCTCTCAAAGGTTCGGTCTTGGTGTCTCTCTTTTTTAATTTAATAATGATGACTTTTTATCCGGTTATTGCTTTTAGTTTCGCATCGGTCAATGATGACTTTTTATCCAATTATTGCTTATAGTGGTGCGTATCTCGAACTATTTTGATTCGACTATTGTTTTCAATCGGTGATAGTTGTTTTTTCGAGTTCTTTTTAGTATATATCTGAGAGTTGTTTTGAGATGAAACTATATATAGGGAGAGAAGTAGGGATTGAAGAATTTTAACCTGTATAATTAATATTTTTGTCTAACTATTTTCCACCTGTATATATATCTTCATGAGATGTTGCTGTTAAATACTAGGGGATAAACTATTTTGATTCGACTATTGTTTTAATCGGTAATAATTGTTGTTTCGAGTTATTTTTCTTATTTATCTGAGAGTTGTTTTGAGATGAAACTATATATATAGTGAGAAGTAGGGATTGAAGAATTTTTACCAGTGTAATTAATATTTTTGTCTTAACTATTTTTCACCAATATATATATCTTCATGAGATGCTGCTATTAAATACTAGGAGATGAACTAGAATTGTTGCTAACTAGGAAGCTAGGTATTGGCCTTAATACCTAATTCGTTTTACAAATTAAGAAAGAAAGACGAACTTAGATAACTGTAATCGTTATTGGTCTTCACACTTCAGGGAAACTGTGCTATCTTTTTATTTCTCACCTTAAATCACAATTTAGATTTGTGAATTAATTCTCAAACATTTTTATATTGCACTAATCCAAGATGCGCATTAATAGTAATGGATAAGATCAACTATTGTAAATTTTCTAAAGATTTAGGTGTTCATATATAACTAGCTTCTTTTCTAGATTTTGGGGCAATAGTTCACATAAATCTTCAAACATTCAGGTCTTTTTGGGCAGCGAAACAGCTGTTGCTTTCAGTTGGCTCATTATCTCCCAAACTCCAATCTAAGCTAAAGAACTATCAGTAAATCTTCTGTCTGCCAAATATCAGAAACCTCAAAGTTTTAATCATATCATACTCTCTTTAAAAGTATGAGTTCAGGAAAAAATTTCTATGGTCAATATTACATTTAATTTTTTTAATATTATATTATTATCCTAATCTATTCTAATTATCATATCTTCTTTGAATTGGTAACTAAATGATTTATCCAATTCATAATGAGACTTAACATGTTATTGGATAAAAGAGATGCATTTCATATAATTCAAATCATTTTACTTTTTTCAATTAGCAAAGAAATCTAAAAAATATATGCTCGCCAGCCCCTAAAATTTTTTAGACTTTGTAAAAAATATTCTTTAAATTTTTAAATTGTAAAAACACTCCTACGAATTTAAAATTTTATTAAAACATCTTAAAAATTATGAATTTCACTTATTTCAATTCAATGAGAAATCTAAAAAACATATGAAAAACATTGGCTTGAAACCATTTAAAACGAGATCATTTCTATGCTAGAATGGTGATATAGTGATTACATAGCTCAAAAGTCAAAGAAGAAATTTCTACAAAGAAAAAATAATTTAATATCTCAAATTAATAACTACTTTATATATTTGGTTATATTTGGTTGAAGGGAACAATGACAATATTTCATATGAGAGAGATTATTAAGTTGATGATCAATCCCAAGAAAACATTATTTTCTTTTTTTATTTTTACTTTATTTTTATCAATTTAAATAATCATGATATTCAACTACGTGCAATATACATGCATCTCAACTAGTAATAATAATAAACATGAGCAAACCCTTCAACCAATCAAAATTTCCACAATCATATACAGTACTATGTTCTGTCTCGGACTAACACCAATGTCCATGAAATTACATAATCTAGTTACTAGGATACACAATAAATCAGCTTAGCACATAGAGGGGCATGCAGACATCAACTACATCGCCAAAAGCAAAAGCGAAGACTAATCAAGCCATCTACTTCTTCAAAGTTCATTGCCAAAAACTCCCCAAATGGAAACATGACATAACAAAAAGGGTATCCAGTTTGGTAGCACCTCTATGAGATTTGAATGGAAAGTGACGAAGGTTGTAACCATTGCCATTGCAGAACAATTTCCTTGTTCTTTAACCAAACGATAAAAGGATCCGTTTGCATTTAGGTCGTTATATCATCTTTGCGTCAGAAGTAGCCAAATTTCGACTTTTTGATGAGTCTTGTGGTATCAATGGCTAGTTGCCAAGGCCGTTACCAAGAGGCCCAGTATAAGAAAAGGTTGGGCGCTCGCCTGCAAAAGTTGTACAAGGAAGCATTATGAATTGTTGGATGCTAACAAAGTAAGGGATTTGCAAGGAGAACTCGGTTGGTTTTTACCTGATATTTTACATCGTATTTCACTGGATCTTTCAAGAAGTACTCAAACTGCAACCAAGGCAATTGAATTTGTATGTGTCAAGAATATGAAATCATGCTTCCTGGGTCTTTTTCATTTTAAATCGAGTTATTTGCATTTCTAATATCCTGAAGTTTCACCCTTTTCATAACTTTGGTACCCTCAAGTTCTATTTTGACAATTGACACCCAGAAGTTCAAAATTGATGTTAATTTGACAATTTGATATCCCAAAACCTTAACTTTGTTCCTCACTTTTCACGCTCCAAAAACTGAAATTTGGTAAGACAATTTGTTTTTCATTAACTTTTCGATGATGATATTCTTGAACAAATTTAACGTAAACTTTTTTTTACTTTGGGGCATCTGATTGTCAAAATAGAATTTCAGGGTATCAAAGTTACGAAAAAGACTGAACCCTAAGATAGTAAAGTGCAAATACCAAGAAGGAAATTGAGTATAGAATATGATTTCAAAAGGGAAGAAATACCAAGATTCACAAATGATTTAAAGAAAAAAAGCAATAGTGAATGAAAATGGCTCACTTGGAAAAACACTTGCGGAAGTATTAAACCAAGAAGGGCCAATGCATACAAGGGCTTGCCAGCGCCCAAAAGATAGCCTGCATTAATAATACAAAAACATCAGACTACATATTGCATCAAAGTAGAACATGATATGTTGATGAACTGAATAAAAAAGAACCAACTCCATATCAAAAAGCAAACTTTTACGGCACAATACAACTTGCTGCATGCATGTTGCAGCAAGTACTTGCAATACTTGCAGCTGTGGGACGAAGAAAAAGCTAATGCAGACATGTCTAGTGTATATAATAAGCTAATCCATGCTTAAATTTGAAGAAAAAGCCAAAAAGATGATGCACAACTTGAACAACACAACTACTGCAAAAATGCAGTGCCTTAGACAAACAACCAGTACATAACACCAGAAGGATGCATTTATACTCGTATAGAAACCTTATGCTCTGAAACAATATCCATCACTCTTCAACAATTTAGAATTACCGAAAAAATTATACATCTAAAATTGACTGAAGTGCACTTATATTGTAATTAGCTCCCAAAGGGTTCTTTATCTTCCAAAACGCTTCTTCATGAAGTTGCTTGCAAAGAAGAACAACATGGACCATGGGAGTGTTTATTGAGGGCAAAGTTCCATGGGCCCTTTAATTTAGTTGTTTCTAGAGAACTCAAGATAAACTTAAGAGTAAAATAAAAACAAAAGTCCATATCTAATGTAACAATCTTAAGAACAAATGACAACCAGCAGTAGCTACCAGCATAGTGTTGTGCGCCTATGCGGAAGCGTGCTTGCACACCAAACGAATCTGTGATTACTGGAGAAGAGAACCAACCACACACGAGCACAATTCAAACCAAATACGAAAAATCAAACCAAACACAGAGATATACGTGGTTCGACAATTTGCCTACGTCAACGGGGAGAGGATATGGAGATTCCACTAAATCGAGGAGAGTACAAAGGGTTACAATCTCAGAAAATCACTCACACAAATCCTAAATCAAATCTCTCAACTTACTCACAAATTCTCCCTCTCAATATGCTCAGTACAATCTAAAATCTCTGATCTTTAACCTTAGAAAATCGTGTTTTAATATATATCAAAACACAAACTCAATACGAGCAGCCGAGCAGGAAACCAAATTCAGACCCAGCCCGACTCGCAGTCGATCGCAGAGACACGTGCGGTCGACCGGACAGAACGACAGAGACTGACAAAAACATGTAGGGTTTGTGGCGGTCAACCGCCGCACCAATCGCAGTCGGCCGCGAAAAGTCCAGAGACTTTTTCAGCTTGCGTGCATGTTTACGGTCGACCACCGCGTCATTCGTGGTTAACCGCTGGAAATCCAAACTGTTTTTTTCCCCTTTTCCTATATTCGCTTCAATTCTCCACCTCGGTGAAGTTTTCCAAAAACTGAGTCGACACCAAATAAAGAACACCACTGCATCGCCTCTCCAAAATCGGCTGCACCAATATGGTTGCCTATGTACCCCCTCTCCCAATGGATCAAGCCGCCCGTAGTTCGTCCAAATGACGTCAACAGCCTCAACAATCACGAATGAGCAACAAACTTCGACAATGATCAAACTTATTGCTCGGAACCACTTTAGTGAGCAAATCCACCGGATTATCCTTCGTGTGGATCATCATAATCTCCACATCATCATCTTCAAGAACATCTCGAACGAAGTGATAACGAACGTCAATGTGCTTCGTCCTTGCATGAAAAATCTGATTCTTCGCCAAATAGATAGCATTCATTCTATCACAATGAATAGTGACGGACCGCTGTAATATATCAAGTTCCTCCAAAAGCCCTCGAAGCCAAATAATCTCCTTCACAACCTCCGTGATCGTCATATACTCTGCCTCCGTCGTAGACAAAGCCAATGTAGATTGTAAAGTGCATCTCCAACACACCAGCACACGGGTTAAAGTGAACACATACTCCGTCGTAGACCGACGCTTATCCAAATCTCCGGCATAATCCGAATCAACATAGCCAATGCACAACTGTCTACATGTAATGTCCCGCTCGAAAACCAAACCAACATTGACCGTACCTCGAATATACCTCAAAATCCATCTCACGACGTCCCAATGACCACTCCTAAATCGTGTATGTATCTAGAGACCATGCTCATCGCATGTGACAAAGCTAGCCTCATACATATCATCACGTACATCAAGCTCCCAACCGCGCTCGCATATGGAGTCTTCGACATCAACTCTCGATCTTCAACTGTCTTGGGTGAAAGGTCAACTGAAAGCTTCAAATGAACGCCCAAATATACACTAACTGGCTTCCTATCCATGCTGACATGGAATCGCTATAGAATCTTCTTCAAATAAACCACATGTGTCAAACAAATTATGTTATTCTCTTTGTCTTTGCCGATCTTCATCCATCTCAAACTCTTTTGAAAGTTGTGCCTTCAACTCATCTATAGAAGACCTGGAAAGAGACAACCAACATGTCATCAATATAGAGTAACAAATAGATGTACGCACCTCCTTTCAACTTACGAAAATACACGCAAGGATCAAACTGGCTCCGAGTGTACGAATGACCAAGCATAAAATCATCAAATCGTCTATATCACTGTCGAGGAGACTGTTTCAAACCGTATAGCGATTTATTTAACCTGCAAATCAGGTTTTCCTTCCCTGCAGCTCGGAATCCCAATGGCTGAGTCATATATTTCTTCATCAAAATTACCATAAAGAAATATCGTTTTCACATCCAACTGATCTAACTCCAATCCATACTGTGCCACCAAAGCTAGCAAAATCTGAATCGAAGAGTGCTTCACCACTGGAGAGAAAACCTCATTATAATCAAAACCTTCTTCCTGTGTATAGCCCTTCGTAACTAACCTAGCCTTGAATCTCACTGGAATGCCCTCAATGCCCTCCTTCGTGTATACTCATTTGCAACCAATCGTCTTCCGCCCCTTTGGAAGCTCAATAAGCTCTCACGTATCGTTTTTATGAAGAGACTCTATCTTCTTCTGCATAGCCACGTGTCACGAATCAGCTTCTGAACTCTGCTCGGCCTCTCTAAATGTAGTAGGCACCAACTCATCGATACTCTTCACCGGAAGTACATATGCAACTATTGTGTCGGTATACCGTGTTTGCATCCGTATGTCTCACATCTGTCTTCGAACCGCAATAGAATCATGAACCTGAGCCGTCGATCTTTGATCCTGCACAACTATACATGTATCCTCCTCGTCGTCGTGCTCGCCTGGCGTTACCTCAGTCGGCACTCTAATGGATATTGTACTATCTGGACAATATGAAGCTGCATCGATCTCCATCACCTGTGATATCTCCTTCGTCGGGCCACTCTGTTGTGCGCAACGAAAATTTCGACAGCATCTTTAGTGCTCTACAAGAGAGTAGATCTCAACTAAATCCATGTTTCACAAAGAAAACAAGAACCGAAAATAAAATACCTCAACAAAGTGGGATATCAGCTCTTCCTCTCATCAGTTTTAGGACTGACTTGTCGAAAGAACCTAAACTCTCTATTACAAATCACAACACGAACAATCAATTTTAACGTGATTCGGCAAATTGCCTACGTCCATGGGGCAAGGAGGGGGGAGATCTACTATTAGAGGGAAAAAGAATACAAATAGAGTTCACAATCACACAGCTCTCACAAATTAAACCCTCAAAACAGGCTCCTTTTCTTCTCAAAAAGGTCAGGCTCCAAAAAACTCTCTCTGCGGTACACCTGCACACAGCCCTCTGCACACAACCTTCTGCACGAAGACTTACACAGCCGCCTGCTTTTGCCGCCCCCTTCACTTTTGCACAAAACCCTAGGCAACACTGCAAAGATGTATATATAGCAGCAACTTTGTTTTCGGATGGGCTTTTGTCCAGGAGACAAAAGCTTACCTCTAACTTAAATCACCTCAAATCACTCCATGCGTGACCCACACTCAAATCTCTTCACGCGGCTTTGATCTCCGCGTGAACACTTATGGCCCCTACCCATATGCTTCACAATTCTCTACCTCGGTGAAGTTTTCCCAAAACTGAGCCGACACCAACCAAACCAAATGTTTCACTTGTTGCGTCCAGTACGAAGTGAAACAATTCACGACAACTGACTCAATCCACAACAAATCGAGAACCATAAGTGTTCACGCGGAGATCAAAGCCGCGTGAAAAGATTTGAGTGGGGACCACACGTGAAGTGATTTGAGGTGATTTAAGCTGGAGGCAAGCTTTTGTCTCCTGGACAAAAGCCCACCCGAAAGCAAAGTTGTTACTATATATACATCTTTGCAGCGTTGCCTAGGGTTCTGTGCAAAAGTGAAGGGGGCGGAAAAAGCAGGCGGCCATGCAAGTCTTCGTGCAGAGGGCTGTGTGCAGATGTACCGCAGAGAGAGTTTTTTGGAGGAAACCTTTTTGAGAAGAAAAGCATGGAGCCTATTTTAAGGGTTTAATTTGTGAGAGCTCTATGATTATAAACCCTATCTGTATTCTTTTTCCCTCTAATAGTAGATCTTCCCCCTCCTTGCCCCGTGGACGTAGGCAATTTGCCGAACCACGTTAAAATTGATTGTTCGTGTTGTGATTTATAATAGAGAATTTAGGTTCCCTCGACAAGTCAGTCCTAGAACTGATGAGAGAAAGAGCCGATATCCCACTTTGTTGAGATATTTTACTTTTCGGTTCTTGTTTTCTTTATGAAACATGGATTTAGTTGAGATCTACTCTCTTGTCGAGCACCAGAGGGGCTGCCAAAATTTTCGTTGTGCACAACACTCTCTACCTGATGAGAGCTAGGAAGCTTCAAGATAGAAGCATCATCAAACGTGACGTCTCTACTTAACACAATCTTCTTATCAACTGGATCTCATAGCTTGTATCCATTGACACCACGTTTGAATCCTACAAACATGGCATTTCTATCTCAAAGTTCTAATTTATCAGTCTTCACATGATAGTATGCAGAGCACACAAATACCTTGAGCTGGTCATAGTCGTGTGCTGGATCTTCCGACCACATCTCTATAGGGGTCTTCCCCTCAATCCCAGATAATGCAGCCTGTTAATGAGGTGGCTTGCATATGAAAGTGCATCAGCCCAAAAGGTCTCCATACCATTATGCGCCAACAAACATCGGATCTTCTCCAGCAAATATCGATTTAGCCTCTCTGCCACCTCATTCTGCTACGGTGTATAACTAACTGTTAAGTGTTTCTCTATACCCTCGTCTCGACATAGCTGCTGAAAGAGTCTGATGTGTACTCATCACCGTTGTCGGGTCGTAACGTCTTGATCTTTCTCCCAGTCTGCAGTTCTAATCTTTTTTTTACTCCACAAATATATCTAGGACTTTACTCTTTCTTATTATAGTGTACACCCAATAACGCCTAGAATAGTCATCAACGAACGTGATGAACCAATATCGACCACCAAGTGATACAGTCTTGATCGGACCCTAAGCATTTATGTGCACATAATCCAGGATGTCCCTCGTCCTATGAATGGCTGTCCCGAACTTCACCTTCGTCTTTTTGCCAAGAACACAGTGCTCACAGAACTCAACATTTTCATTCTTGGCTCCCTTTAATAGCCCCTGCTTGTACAAAGTCTGCAATGACTTCTCTCCTGTGTGCCCCAACCTGTAGTGCCAAAGTTTGCTAATATCCGCCTCTGAAATAGTTGAAGCAATCTGCCAATCTTAGTGCTTCCCTTCAGATAATATAAGTTTCGACTGCGGATTCCCTTCATCACCACCAAAGATCTCTTAGTAACCTTTGCTACAGCATCCTCAAATGTCGCATTGAATCCCTTCGTCTCCAAAGCTCTAACTGAGATAAGATTCTTCTTCAACTGAGGAACAAATCTCACATCCTTCAATTCACGTACTACTCCATCGTGCATCTGAATCATCACGGTACCTATACCATAAATGTCACAAGATTGATCATTTCCTATGACAACAACACCCTCATCGAGTCTCTCAAATGATGAAAACCAATCTCGATAGGAGTCACATAATAAGTAACGTCAGAATCAAACATCCAATCTGATGCATCCAAGTGGTTCACCTGCGGAGTACCCAATAGAGGAACGTTCGAATCATCGAAATCATCGCCTTTCGTAACATTCACCTCATTGGCCTTCGGGCCCTTCTTCTTGCTATTCTCTTTCTCCTTGATTTTTGGACAATCTCTCTTCTAATATCTCTGCTCCTTATAGAATACATATTGGTTCTTTCCTAACTGATGATGGTCTCTTGACTTTGATCTGCCTCTATTGTCATCTCTCGGATATGGACTTTACCTCTCGTCAACAAGGCCTCTCCTGAAGTACCAGTGCGGAAAGTCTCCTTGTCATTTCTCCTCAAATCATAATTCGTCAAAACGTTAGTTACTTCACTATAAGTGATAGAAGATCTCCCGTTCAACAAAATGAGCATAAAAGTATCATACTCCTCATCTTGTAAGGAGCCCAACAAAATAATAGTCTTGTACTCATCCGATATCTTCTCATCCACATTCGCCAAGTCCGACAACTTAGTATAGTTGTTCACATGAACTGCTAGTGAGGTGCCCCTGGACATCTGAAATCTAAATAACCTATGCAGCAAGTGCAATCTGTTCTCAACACTCTTCGTAAGGTATTTGTTGTTGAGAATTTCCCACATCTTTATTGCAGACTTCACCCCAATCACATCATATTTCAGCTCTTGTTCCAAACAAGACCTTATCACCCCACAAGCATTCCTATTCATCCTTTTCCATATCGCATTTTCATATTTTGATGGCCTCTCATGGACCATGATGGTCTCCTTCAAATTTTGAGTATTGAGCGCATCCTGAACATCGCTCATCCACAAACCAAAATTAATCTTATCGTCATACTTCACCACACTAATTTTAGTATTCTGAAAACTAACTTGAACTGTACTCGTCATCTTGCTGCTTTCACCAATTTCTCCACCCATAATCACAAACTCCAAATTACAAAGAAAGATTCAAACTTTGAAAGGATTGAGGAATTACCAAACTGAACCCTAGATTGGATTCCAAATAGAACTCCTAATCACACGAGGAAAGCGAGATCTTCAACGGCAACTCCAAACCCTATCTCCACCAAAGCCTAAAACTCTAAGAACTAAACTTCCACGACGAATCTTCCTCCACCTAATGCGAAAACCCTAGATCTGAAATCTGAGCTTTGATACCAATTGTTACGCGCCTATGCGTAAGCGTGATCGCACACTGAACGAATCTGTCATTACTGGAGAAGAGAACCAACCACACATGAGCACAATTCAAACCAAATACGACAAATCAAACCAAACACAGAGATATACATGGTTCGATAATTTGCCTACGTCCACGGGAAGAGAATAAGGAGATTCCACTAAATCAAGGAGAGTACAAAGGGTTACAATCTCAGAAAATCACTCACACAAACCCTAAACCAAATCTCTCAACTTGCTCACAATTTTCCCCTCTCAATATGCTCAGTACAATCTAAAATCTCTAATCTTTAACCCTAGAAAATCGTGTTTTAATATACATTAAAACACAAACCCAATGCGAACAGGAAACCAAATTCAAGCTCAGCCCGACTTGCGGTCGACCACAGAAACACATACGGTCGACCAGATAGAACAGACTGACAAAAATATTACAGGGTTTGGCCGGTCGACCGCCGCACTAATCGCAGTCGACCGCGAAAAGTCCAGAGACTTTTCCAGCTTGCGTGCACGTTTGCAGTCGACCGCTGGAAATCCAAACTATTTTCTGCTTTTTCCTGTATTCGCTTCACATAGTGATTAATTAAGATGTGTATATGAGCTTTCACCTCTCTTAGCAAAATGAGCTATCAAGAGATACATTAGGTTGTAGAACATCCGTAAATCATTGTTATACACTATAGCTATAATCAACTTGTCATGTGCCACATGACAATTATAGTGTGTTACACAATGAATATCCAAGACCTCTGCAGCTTTTATATTACTTTTGAAATGCACAACAAGCTATGCTTGGCAAGATGATAAAGGAGGGGAAACAATTTACAAAGATATCATAAAGTTCATGTTCCATTACCTGCAATATATAACTGAGTTATGTCAATTGCACCTACACATATCCATTTAGCTGTTTCAGTCCCAAAAGCAACAGGAAGCGACTGTCAGATAAACCATGGAAATAGTTTAGTTTGACTAGCTACCGAGATAACCAAAACACTGCTTAAATATATAAATAGTGGGATGACGAATAGGACCTGCAATCCCAGAGCCCTATCTCCTTCAACACTTTTAAAATCATTTACTATGGCAATACCCAACTGAAGAGCAAAAGTAGTAGTTATTTAGCATAGATTAAGCAACACGAAATACAAACTATGCTGAAAACAAGTACCCCAGCTATGCTGTACAAGAGTGTAAGGACAATTATGTCAGGAGTAAGAGTCCCAAATAAAGCTTGACCAGCCCACCTATAAGTTAAAGCTTCATTGTAATCATTGGACACGGTGAATATGGAAAGGCAATTAGCTTATAAAGGCAGCGAAAAGAAGAATATGCTCTATGAATCAGATCTAGAAAAGGTCTAGAAACAAGCTTCATTGAACCTTGAAAATTTTTTATGACGGAGAATCATACCATGGTAAACTGATGTAGCTTGCCCCCAGAGCAAAGTTCCCAATCCATCCATTTTGCTTGAGCTGTAGAAAAAGGGATGTCAAGAAACCAGTATATGTTGTACTTCAGTACTAAGAGAAATTGGTTGGACACACTCCAAAAAATATGTCCATACATTAGTCGAACGTCTTACTTTTAAGGGTGGAGCAGAATAGATATATGATACCAAGGATCCGCCAAGAGCTAGATAGAAAAGTATAGGGGAATCATGCCCTGCCTGATATGAAGAAGGTGGTTAGGTTATAATTCAATAACGGCTATAAAAGGGTTCATATAACCAGTATATACTACAATGTGGATGCATACCCACACATCTAACAAACCCGCCAAGCCAAGGCCTCCTAGGAGCAGCACCCAGATCTGGGTTATAACCTGAAGAATACCAATTTTTAAGAGATGATATGTAATACAATCTAATTGCACTTTATGTGATAACATTGCACCACAATATGAGCATAACTAACTGCCAGGAGCTATCGTTTTTCTAGAATATGCAAAAATAAGCAACAAAGAGATATATGTTTGATAGCGCAAATATAAATACAGATTATCTAAGGATTCACAAGTCAAAAAGGTAAAAGGCCTTGAAGGGAAGGCCTAATTATTTTATCCAATTATAACTTTAGAAAGTGACTTTCAGTGTATGACCTCCTCTATAAAGTCATAAATAGTATTTACGGAAGTCTCCAAACAGGGGCTGCTTCTAGACCCCCATGGTACTCTTCCAAGTAGGGGTGCAAAACGGTCCGGATTTATCCGGACCGACCGTAACTGTATCCGTTTAGAAAGCGAATATGGTAGGGAAAAATTAAAACAGGTCGGATATGGTTTCGGATACGGTTACGGTTTTGGTTTTTTATCCGGATACGGTTTCGAATACGATTATTCGGTCAAAATTGCGGATACGGTCCGGATATCCGGATATTTAAAATGTGCTACATATAATACTTGGGTCGGGTCTATGAGTATTATCCATAACCCAACTCAAAACTCAAACCCATTACTTCTCAAAATTCAAAACCCTAAGTTCTCTTCCCAAATCCAAACCAGGCACCGCTGCACCTTCGTCCTCCTCTCCGCTTCCGCCTCCCTCTCCCTCTCCGCCTCCACCTCCGACTCTGCGCTGCACTGCCGTGTACAACTCATCTGCAGCGTCCCGCGTCTAGCTCCACCTACGCGCCCCACCACTCCTCCGCAACGATGATCATCCACGACGTCGGACCTCTTTTCCTCCTCAATTTGGTATATCACGAATGTGAATTCAAAACACTAAGCCCTAATTTGTGGGTTTTTAATATTTCTCTTGTAATGGTGATTATGTATGCTAAACTTTATGTTTGAATCGGCGTGCTTTTTTATTGTCGCTCATGAATGAACAGTTTGAGATTTAGTTTTTTAAATCCGTGGAATACATGAGCTTCCTTCTTTGAAGAGCATTTTAATATTCAGAGGCTTTGAAATAACTTTATCTGAGGATTCCTGAGTAATAGTAATAACAATAGTGTCTCATGATTGAGTTTTGAGTAGCAGGCTAGTAGTAACAATTGTTTTTAATTGCATACATAATTGTAATTTGCATCTTTATATTTTGTTGTTTGATTAAGCTTATAAATTTCAATGAATAGGTATTAGAATCATGTCGTCAAATCCATCAATTCAAGCTTCTAACGAAGAACCCACAATCGAACCTCCCACTGAACCGGTCATTGAACCTATAGTTGAAGAGTCTTCTAATAAAACAGAGGAAAAAACCTGAGAGG